CATAACTATTTTTTTTAAATTGTCTATTTGTTTTGTTCTTTTAGATTTGTCGAAACTCAAGTTGGATCCCGTTATTGATGCTTAGAGATGTGAAGACATTAAGATCTTGGTTTTGGTAATCCGGTAATGTTTTGGTAATCCTGTTATTTTATTAATTATAATTCTCATACTTTTCAATTTTAGTGGTTTGTATGTTAAGATTTTTTTTCTTTATAAGTACAGATTGATGGTGATGGGTGACATCCAGTTCTGAAGGAATTGAGCATGAAGTCATGGGAGCATTTTCAGTTTATTATTATTTTGAACTTTTTAAAGCTCTACTTGGATTGTTATCAATATCATTGTTGGCTTTTATTACTCATTTTGGGGCTCTGCTTTTGTTTGTTTAAATATTATGTTTGACCCTTGGGAGATAATATGTTTTTGTCATTTGGAGCTGTCATTTTGGAGCTGTTATAATATGTGTTTGCTATTACTTTCCTTTAAAAATTTGAGAAATGCTTCAATATTTGCGGTAGGCAGTAGGTTTTTAGATTGAAAATTTCGGTTTTTTCAAACCGACCGAACCCGATCGGTTTTTACTCGGTTCGGTTTGTTCGGTTCTATATTTAATTCGGTTCGGTTCGGTCGGTTTTTTCAAGTACTTTTGAATTTCGGTTTTTTCGGTTTTGGGCCGAAACCGACCGAACCGAACCGATGCTCACCCCTATCTGAGCCTCTTGTTTGGTGCTTTTAAAATTTGGACCATTCTGAGCCTCTCAGGTACACCCAACTTAATACTTACGAGTAAAATTTAATTGCCAACACTTAAAAAAAAAATATAGAATCTCAAAATCTTTGCAAGTATTAACTTGGATTTTCTCTATTTCCCCGTATTTTTCATTCTTATACATAAATCTCAATATAATTTTGTGAAAAAAAAAAACATGCGAGAACTTAAAAAAAGGCAAATATATGCAAGTCATTTGTCATTCTCATTGAGGCAACATACAATTAACCATCTTTCTCCCTTCTTTCTCTGTTTTTTTCCTACTGGTATAATACACCACAGAATTCTTGCAGCAATGGCGCTCAACACAAAAAATCTAGGCCGGTATTCATCCATCAACAATCTCTATACTCCAAGTATGCATGTGTGGGTGTGTGTGCGCGCGCACACGCGCGCACACACACACATATATGTTATACCATTTCTATGTTTTTTTTGCCCTTCATCAAAGAATGCATGCATTAATGAATGAATCAATCTTCCATCTTCTCCTCCTCCTCACCCACATCACTGGAACTAGCACTCTTCTCAGGCCCATCTAGTTTGGGCTTGTGAGAAGACGGGCCTCTTCGAGAGGGCAGGGAAAGCGGGCCGTACTCTTGAGCGGAGAGGTAGTTAAGGGCGGTGACAATGTCAGCGACGAGGGGACGCATGTTCGGTTGCTCCTGCACGCACATCGCGGCAATGGCCAGGGCCTGGTACAGCCCTCTCACCGGAAACTGAGTTCCCAGTGCGGGGTCCGCCATCTGCCGGAATTTCTTCCGGTCTTTGAACAGCGGCCGTGCCTGCAACAAAAAAATGTCAAGAAACCAATTCAACCAAAAAATCCCAGGAAAAGAGGTGACCATTTGGTAACAAGGCTCTGACATCATGTTAGCAAACTAAGGAGCTGTTTGTTTCAGCCTCTTAATGGTTCAGATGTCTGAATGGTTCAGCATTTAATGGTTCAGACTATTTGTTTCGTGGGCAGATATCAAAATGGTTCAGACATTTGCCTCTGAATGGTTAAATATTATACAGAATCTGAATGGTTCAGACTTCTTATCTGAATTGATCAGACATTTGCCTCTGAATAGTTAAGCAATATACTAGCTCTTAATTGTTCAGACCTCTTACTGGTTCAACACTTAATGGTTCAGACCCTCTTACTGGTTCAGCACTTACCTATTCTGAAGTTGTCAAACAGCCTCTAACTCAACCAAAAGCTCAAACTTATGGTTGTAGGTCCGAGAGGTTTTTATATTCTAACAACAAATTTTGAGGATTATGGACACAAAAACAAAAACTTTGAGTATAAGTGCAGAGAAAATATACCCAAGCAACAAGATTTTGTTCTGGAGCAGGTTTAGTGTTGTCAATAGCTCTCCTACCAGTGATGAGCTCAAGAAGAACAACCCCAAAGCTGTAAACATCTGATTTGAATGTCAACTGACCAGTCATAGCATAATCCGGAGCGCAGTAACCGTACGTGCCCATCACCCTGGTTGAGACGTGGGTCTTGTCTCCGAGCGGGCCCACCTTCGCCAACCCAAAATCAGACAGTTTGGGATGATAATCCTCGGCAAGCAATATATTTGAGCACTTCAAATCGCGGTATATCACCGGCGGCTTCATCTTGTCATGTAAATACTCAAGCCCTCTTGCCGCACCTGCTGCTATCTTCATCCTCACATTCCAATCAAGAAGCTTCCTATTCGATCGGCGGTCTCCAAAAATTCATACAAATGACTTATAAATACACAATCACCATGAAAGAAATAAAAAAGTAGCAGAATTTGACATCAAAATGTTTATTTTTAGAGAAATACCATATAAATGGTCTTCCAATGAACCGAGAGGCATATACTCATAAACCAAAAGTCTTTGATCGCCCTCTGCACAATAACCGATTAGCTTAACAAGATTAGGGTGGTCGGCCATACTCAAGGTCAACACTTCAACAACAAACTCTCTAATCCCTTGACATCCATCGCGATCAAGCTGCTTTATAGCCACAATCTGCATTTTGATCAAGCAATTAGAAGTAGTCCATGATATATGTGGTCAATGTAAAAACATAACAAGGCTAATGAAGAAAAAAAGTGAAGATTCATAAACAAATCAAATATATATAAAAGTCGCAAATTCTGCATGGAGCTACAACTAACAATTCCAAAAAGGGTCAAGTTAGATGGAGGGTTGGAATTTTTGACGGGAAGGTTTTGAAGGGATATGTTTATATTGAAATTGAAGGAATAACATACTCTTTCGTACGGATTTAGATGTCCATTTCCCTAAATATCTCAATTTGAAGAAGTGAGTGTATAAAATATGCAATGAGGGCTCTAAATTAGTTTGTCATTCATTGATAGGAATAATGCTTTCAAGTGCTTTTGCAAAACCGGTAAACAAAGCAATAAATCACCCTTTGTTTCAGAGACATTATATTTATCACGATGTAAGCTAAGCCGCTAATGCCTTCCCCCACAAAACCTTCCAAAACCCTCTAGCAAAGCGATCCTGAAGTATATGTTTGGGTAGAGGGTCATGAGAAGGTTTTGGATGGCTTCGTCTAAATCTTGATATATTAGTATTTACTACGTAGATTGTTTCTAAAATAAAATAGAAAGATTACTAAAAAGAGTAATTTTTATAAAATCATAAATATAAAGATATACACTTAAATCCAAAGCTCTCTCTCCCCACCAAAGCCCTCCAAAACCCAACTCCCAAATTGAGCTGAAATATGGGGTTGAAGGGGGGGGGGGGGGGGGGG